AACACTGAGGGGTAAGAAAAAGTCTTAGGATGAGGCGCATTGCACTCTTTGTGTATGCATATACCCATCCCCTCCTCCCTCCTCCCCCCTCCCCCTGCCCAACATCCAATAGATATTATTCTTATATAATGGTCCCATACCTGCTCCACCTGTGGACATGTATCAATAGACTAATCCAAGTAAAAAAGGCAGAAGGGCCCATGGAAAGGCTACAACCATAAGTTATAGGAATTAGGCTCTAGAAATGCAATTTGAGAGGATTTTTTGAACTCTTCTGGGCCTCTCTGATTCCTCACTTCTAAAATGCTAATAACTACTCTCTATTAGAGTCACATGATCATTGTAACAAAAACATTGAATAAATTTATGTAAAAGTATTATTTGTTTTAAAAGGTCAATTAGGCATAAATGGTGTTTTGGTTTTTGTACTGGTTTCCTGTTCAAGAATATTTTGCAAAGAGGCAAAGGATGATAGAACAAGGCATTCTACATTTATTGATAGTTATTTCAACAAAATCATCCTGTTAGATATTCTCCTAATATTAATCTTCCAATACTCCCATTTTACAACAACTTGTTTAATGTTTCTAGTTTGTCTCTGTTTCTCTTTCTCTCTTCTCCAAATTAATATCCCCAATCCATTTCTTTACAAGTTATTCTCACTACCTAAATTTACTAAGCCACTTAAGCTTCCTTCTCTCCCCTCTCCTCACAACAAAATGCATATGTCCCTGAGTCCCAGATTCTAAGGAAGGAAGAACTGCTTCTCTATTGTTTTCCTTCCCAAGAGAAGCATAATGAATGCTTCTTATTGTTCTGCTATTAACTCTCAGTGACGCCCCTTCACTGGAGTATCCTTTGTCCTCCAGTTAGAGACATCTTTGTTGTTTAGGGATTTTCACATGTGCCCTATTACTTCATTCTGATCATGCCAGGAACTACCTGAGCTGCCCTTCCCTCCATCTACCCCAGCCATCTTAAAACCAGCCAGCGATTTCCCATTGATTTTAGGGTGAAAACCTCAATCCTTACGCTGCCCTACAAGGCTTTATGTGATTTGGCCATGACTTCTCTCTCTAGCTATGTAACCTGTATTCACTCATTCCCTCTTTCAGACTCCATTCCAGATGCATCAGTCTTCTTTTCGCTCTTTTAAGAAAGCCCAGCCCCCTTCATTGATTAGTGCCCAATCATTTTTGAGAATTCAGTGAGGACATCTCTCCAAGCCTTCACTGACTCTTCATTCTACATCAGCTCCTTGCTTACAGGCATTCATAGAATGATGTTCCTTTCCTTCACAGTGCTTACTTCTGTTTGAAATTACACAGTATTTAGCACTATTATGGGGTTAATATCGCATACCTCCACCACACCAAAAGCTTCTGGAGAGCAGGGACCACATAATTTTTGCTGACCATTGGGTTTCCAGGGCCTTTCATAAGAGCCTGACCCACCTAGTGGGTACTCAGGATGTATTCTTTAAATTCACAAATAAATCAACATTAGTTTGATCCCCATGGATCTTCTTAGTATTTAAAGGAAAACAATGCATGGACAATAATCTCTAAAAAATAAAATAAGATCTGATTTGAAACTTTGCAAAGGTAATCTTATCACATTTTTATGAAGGTTAGTATTTTCTATACTATATTTATT